CACTGTGGTCAGTTACTGGAGGTAAAAGTTACCTATGGAATTGGGAAATGATAGAGCTAACCTCCTAGGGGTTGGTTCAAGGAATATGTAAGGAAATGCAAAAAAACTCCATGGAACCTGCTAATATACAAGCCGGTGGTTATTGCTATATGTAATTAGCTAAAATGGAAATAAAGGAGAGGGTGGGGAGATGTACTGACACTGTACCAAGCTGGCATTTCCTCTGGTCCAAGTTATGGCCACTTCTGTCAGGGATGCTCCTAAAGGGGAAGATTATGCTGGCACAACAGAAGGCACCTCTATGACCTCTGGTCAACAAGAACTCCACTTGGTAGTCCAAGTGGGGGTGGGGCAACATCAGGAAACTACTGAAAAGTTTCCTTTACCCTGAGAAGGGGGATTATTCTTCCCCTCCTTTAAATGCCATGTGGAACTTTCCAGATGAAGCAGCTGATATACTACCCGTGCAAGGAAATCATGCTGGATTGACTTGATAGTGATCAGGATATCTGTCCACCACAACCTAGAAATCAACAACAGAAGGAGAACTGGAAAATTCCCAAATATGTGGAAATCAAACAATGCATTCATAAACAACCAATGGGTCAAAGAAGAAATCATAAGAGAAAGTAGGGTGTAGCTTGAGATGAATGAACACAACAGCACAATATACCCAAACTTACAGATTCCAGCAAAAGTCATGTTCAGAGGGAAGTCTATAACTGTAAATGCCTACATTAAAACAGATCACAAATCAATTACCTAAGACTACATGTTAAAGAATTAGAAAAAGAACAGCAATGAAAACGCAAAGCCAGTAGAAAGAAGGAAATAATGTAGAGTATAGATAAATGAAACGGAGATCAGATAAATAATAGGGAAAATCAATTAAACCAAAAGTTGGTTCTTCAAAAAGATCAACAAAGCTGACAAACCTTTAGCTAAATGAACCAAGAAAAAAGAGAGAAGACTCAAATTATTAACAACAGAAATGAAAACAGGGCTATTACTACTGATTCTACAGAAAAAAGGAGCATTACAAGACTGTATTGTGAACAACTGTATGCCAACAATTGAATAACCGATTGATGAAATGGACAAATTCCTAGAAACAGAAAAGCTACCAAGACTGAATAACAAGCAAGTAGAAAATTTGAATAGACTTTTAATAATAAAGAGATTGAATAAATAATCAAAAATCTCCTGACAAAGAAATGCCCTGGATCTGATGGCTTCACTGTTTAATTCTACCCAACATTTAAAGAAGAACTAACACCAATCCTACTCAAGGTTTTCCAAAATATTGAAGAGGAAGGAACACGTCCTAACTCATTCTAGGAGGCCAGCATTACCCTGATATTAAAGCCAGACAAAGACACTACAAGAAAACTACAGAACAATATGCCTTACGAACACTGATGAAAAGTCCTCAAGAAAACACTAGCAAACCAAATTGAGCAGCCTATTCAAGGATTATACAAGTGGGAAAGGATTATGAGCAGGTGGGCTTTATTAATGGAATTCAAGAATGATTCAACACATGGAAATTGATCAGTGTTATACACCACATTAACAGAATGAAGGGCAAAAACTACATGATCATCTCAATTTATGCAGATAAAGCATTTGACAAAATTCAACACTCTTTCATGTTGAAAACACTCAATAATCTAGGAATAGAAGGAAACTACCTCAACATAACAAAAGCCATATATGAAAACCCACAGCAAATTGGATATTCAATGGTAAAAACGGAAAGATTTTCTTAAACTTCAGGAAAAAATAAAGGATGCCCACTTTTGCCACTTCCACTCAACATAGTACTGGAAGTTCTTGTGAGAGCAATTAGGAAAGAAAAGGAAATTAAAAGCATCCTAATTGCAAAATAAGAATTAACTCCGTCTCTGTTTGCAGATGATATGATCTTGTGTGTAGAAAAAACTAAAGATTCCACAAAAAACCCTGTTAGAACTCATAAACAAATTCAGCAAAGTACTGAGAGAGAAAATCAATGACAAAAATCAGCTGTATTTCTACACAATAACAATGAACAATCCAAAAATGAAATTAAGAAAATATTTTATTTACAATAGCTCAGAAAAAATAAAATACGTAGGAATTAACTTAACCAAGGAGATGAAAGACTTCTACCATGAAAACTACAAAACATTGCTGAAAGAAATTAAAGAGGACACAAGAAAATTGAAAGTTATCCTAGGTTCATTGATTGGAAAGCAGTATTGTAAAAACATCAAAACTACTCAAAGGGATCTACAGATTTAATGCAATCCCTTTCAAAATATCAGTGGCTTTTTGCAGAAATGGAAAAATCAATCCTAAAATTCATATGGACTCTCAAGTGACCCCAACGACCCAAAAACAATCTTGACAAACAAGAATTAATCTCAGACTTCCTGATTTAAAAACTTACTCCAAAGCTACATTAATCAACACGCTGTGGTACTGGCATAAAGACAGAGATATAGACCAACAAAGAGAACAGAAGTCCCAGAAACAATCCCTCATATGGAGTCAAATGATTTTGACACGGGTGCCAAGACTATTCAAGAGGGAAAGGACAGTCTTTTCAGTAAATGGTGCTGGGAAATCTGGATATCTTAATGCAAAAGAATGAAGTCAGACCTTCACCTGGTGCCATATAGAAAAATTATTTCAAAATGTAATGAAGACTCAAATGTAAGAGCTAAAACTAGAAAATTCTTAGAAGAAAACTAAGAAAATTCTTAGGCAAAACTTCTTAGACGACAGACAAAAGGTACTCAACGTTGGATTTGGCAGTAATTTCTTGGGTATGACACCCAAGGTTTAGGTAACAAAAAGAAAATGTAGACAAGGTGGGCTTCATAAAAATTAAAAAATATTGCACGTCAAAAGATACTATCAACAGAGTAAAAAGCTAACTTGCAGAATGGGAGAAAATATTTCAAATCATATAAAGTCATGTGTCACTTAATGACGGGGACATGTTTTGAGAAATGCATCATTAGGCGATTTCATCATTGTGAGAACATCATAGAGTGTATTACACACACCTAGATGGTATAGCCTACCACACACATAGGCTCTATGGTGCTAATCCTATGGGACCACTGTCATACATGAGGTCACTGTTGACCTACACGTTGTTATGTGGCACATGACTGTATCTGAGAAGGGATTAATATCTAGAATATAGAAAGAATTCCTAAAACTCAAAAGCAACAACAGCAAAACACACAACTCGATTTTAAAATGGCCAAGGACTTGAATAGACATTTCAAACAAGAGATATACAAATGGACAATAAACACATGAAAAGATGCTGAACATCACTCAACATTAGGGAAATGCAAATCGAAACCACAATGAGATACCATCTCACACCTATTAGAATGGCTACTATCATCAAAACAGAAAATAGCAAGTGTTGGTGAGGATGTGGAGAATCAGAACCCTTGTGCACTGCCGGTGCGAATGAAAAATGGTGCAGCTGCTGTGGAAAACAGTCTGATGCTTCTATATCCACAAATGAAAGGAGAGTCTCAAAGAGGTATTTGTACCCCATGATCATAGCAGCAGTGTTCACAAAAGCTGAAAGGTAGAAGCAACCCAAGTGCCCATCGATGGATGAAGGGATAGGCAAAATGTGGTCTATCCATACAATGGAGTATTATTCAGATAAAAAAGGAAAGAAATGGTGATACACGATATAACGTGGATGAACTTTGAGGACATCATGCCAAGTGAAATAACTCAGTCACAAAAAGACAAACACTGTATGATTCCCCTCATATGAAATACCCAGAGGAGTCACATTCAGGGGCTACGGGGAGGGGGCATGGGGAGTTATTGTCTAATGGGGACAGGGTTTCAGTTTTGTGAGTTGAAAGAGTTCTGGAGATGGAGGGGGTGATGCTTGCACAACAATATGAGAACGTAATAGCATTGAACTGTACCCTCAAAAATGATTAAGACGGCAAATTTTATAGTGGATTTCCACCTACACACACAAAATGTAGATAGTCAAACAAACATGACCATTTTGCTGTAGGAGGCAAAAACCAGGGGAGTCGCCTGTTCAGTAAAAAGAGTTTACTCAGTAGCTCTGGCATTTTCAATCCATGCACATCCCAAAAAACATGCCTGGTCCTTGACAACCTCCACGGAAACATTCCCTACACCCCTGCGATGACCTGCCTGACAAGAGTGTCTCTGTACCTGGGGCCTGAGGTCACACTATAGTTTATGCCCACAATGTGACTTATGGGGGGGGCCTTGGACCACACTGTTTGATACTGAGAGGGGCAGGAGACTGAGTAACTGAGGTCACCCATGTGGCTCTCCAAGTCTAAGTGACTGACCCCCAACAAAATCCCTAGACACCAAGACTTGGGTGAGCTTCCCTAGTGAGCAATACTCTCTGCTGTGTCACACATCATTGCTGGGAGAACTGAGCACTGTTGGCACGAATCCTCTGGAGACACAGCTGGAAGCTTTTGTCTGCTCTCCTAAATGCCACCTATGTGCCTTTGACCACTGCTGATTCTGTCTGGATCTTTCTCTGGAAAGACCATAACCGTGAGTGTAACAGCTTTTCTGACCCCTTTGAGGCCTTGTAGTGAATCCCTGCACCTGAGGGTGCTCACCCAGCCAGGGATCGGGCTGATTCCTATCAGAAGCCCATTCACACTCCTCCTGCTCCCTGACACCCAGGAAGGAGTCAAGACTTCTACATGGACTTAGTCACCAACCAGGGCAGCCAGTGCTGGGTCTCCATGGGTGACTAGGGGGTAAGCTGTCACCTTCTGAGCCTCACTATACCCGTCTCTCAAATGGGGTTAAATGACAGGTGAGGCTGGATCAGGGAGGGGTAGAGGCTGGCCTGGGGAGGCTGCTGAGGCCGAATCACTGGCTGTGCTTGGTCACGGGGCCAGAGTGGGACTCAAGCCAGGTTGGAGCCATCAGACTGGTTTATCGTACATCAGTGCTTCTCCAGGAGCGGGTTAGAGACTTGGTGACCCCTCTAGCGGGGCACAGCACAGAGCTGGTAGGGGGATGGGGTCACCAGTACACCAGACACACCGTGGTCGCTGGGGCGGGGCTGCCCAGCGGGCACCGAGAAGCTGAAGCGCTGCAGGAGGCAGGTGAAGAAGAGGAAGAGCTCCATGCGGGCCAGGGGCTCCCCGAGGCACGAGTCGTGGCCTGTGGGTGGGTATGGGGGGTCAGTGAGCCTGGGGGCCCGGCGCCATGCCTCCAAGACTCCCTCAGGAGGGGGCATCGAGCCAGGCTCCCCACAGGCACCTGCTGAGAAGGGCATGAAGGCCTCCTGCTTGATGAAGCGGCCCTGGGCATCCAGGAAGTGCTCGGGGTGGAAGCGGAAGGGCTTCTTCCAGACGGTCTCGTCCTTCAGCACCGATGACAGGTTGGTGATGAGCATCATGCCCTGGCAGGAGATTACTGGCATGGGTGGGGTCTGGGCTGGCGGGGGGATGCCTGGACCCCTGCCACCAGACACAGATGTGCCACACTCTCTGCCTGGCACACAACTGGACTCTTTCAAGTCAGTTTCAGCCCAAGAGATTCCTGCCACCCTCCCTGTCCCCATGGCAGGGCCAAGATAGCATGGGAACCCTCCCTGCCACCTGCCCCTGCATGCGTGGCTCCACCAACACATTGTGGCACACTTTAGTTTGTCTCCCCCTACTCAGATTGCCGGCGCTGCATGGACCTGGCCGGTCCTGCCACTGCTTCCTCCCCACACCCACCCAGGCTAGAGAGTTGCTGCCTGTGGAAATGAGAATTATGTAGCTTGGGTTGCAGTCCTGGTCACACCTGGCAATGGCCAGGAAGGGGGCTACCAGGGGGCAGATAGAGCTGAGCTGGGGTGAGGAGGGCCACAGGCCTACCTTGGGGATGAGGAAGCTCTGCACTTCAATGTCGCGGGATGTCATGTGGGGCAAGCCCAGTGGGATGATGTCCCCAAAGCACTGCACCTCATGGACCACGGCCACGGTGAAGGGCATGTGGGTCTGGTCCCCCATCTCTGGGCGCCGTGCCTGCCCTATCACCTCATCGATCTCCTGTTGGACACGGCCTGGACAGACAAGCATCCCCACAGTGGTCAGAACCCAGGGTGCTGGACCCTGACCTCCTCCTGACTCCTGTGCAGGGGCTGTGCCTACGGTGTGGAGGAGGTCACTCTGACCTCTGAGCCAGGGCCCAGCCTCTTCTCAGAGTTCCTGGTGGCCAATGTAAGCTCAGGGCCCCAGCCTGTCCCTCTCCTCCCTGGCCCATCCCACCAGACCCCCAGGCTTGGCTCACGCTGCATATCTGGGTGCAGGATCATGAGCAAGACGTCCCTGGCCAGTGTGGTCAAGGTGGTCACCGTCCTGGCAAAGAACAGGTCAGTCACCAGCAGGTGCAGGTTATCATCATTGAAGGTGGTCTCGGAGTTCCCCTTGGCCTGGGCCATGCAGAGAGGGTGGGCTCAGGGGCAGAAGGAGGAGCCCCCAAATGGCCTCCCACTTTGTACCCATCAGCCCAGGTGCATGATCACCGGGTGATACACAGGCCCCACCTTGCCCAGGCTCCCTTCATGGGCCATCAACTCACAACCTGGTCCCTGTCCCTGGCAGCTCACCTTCTCCACCTTGTCCAGGAAGGCATCAGTCAGGTCTCGGGGGGTCTGGGCCGGGTCCTGGGTCATCCTGTGCTCAGTAACCAGCTCATCAAGCAGGGTCATGAAGGCCCTCTGCCCAGGAAAGACCTTGGCAGTCAGCCCCGGAATGTGCAGGAGCATGGGGATGGCGTTTACCACCTGTGCAGGCCACAAATGTGGGGCCCTGGGTCCTCCCTGTGCTCAGATGTTCACCTCCACCAGTCAGGTCCCAGCCCCTCTCTAGGTGTCCCCACCATTGCCCTGGTTCCTCCCCATGTTCCAACTACGACCTTCTCTCCTGGCCTTGTCCCTAAATGTATAAACCTAAAATCTACATCTCATGGGTTCTGGTGGCTTCCAATCAAAGAGGTACAGGTTGCTTAGCCCTCTCCTGGGGCCTGCCCCTACACCCCTCTACCCAAATCCTCCTCCGTGCAGGCCCATTGCAGGTGGACATCTCCTCCAGGGAGCTCTCCTGCAGGGTTCTTGGCCCCCTCCACCCAGGTGCCTGGGGCAGGAAGCCAGCATTTTCTTTCAGTCCTTCCTCTGTTAGGTCCAACAGCTTGAGGAAGCGCGGGTCGTTGTACTCGAAAAAGCGCCCAAAGGTGAGGGAGGAGATCACGTTGCCCACCGCTTTATTCAGCAGGGCGTTGGGGCTACAGGGGTGCCCCGGGAGGGGTCAGTGCAGGTCAAGGGGTCGCCTCCATCTCCTCCTCCCCAGCCTCCCTCCCTGTCTCCTGTCCCTCAGCCCAGCACTCACCGGCCTGGTCTGCGAAGGCAGCACAGAGGCACGAGGCCTCCTCGGTCACCCACTGCTCCAGTGACTTCTTGCACATGCTGAGGTTGCGCAGGGTGGACACGCAGAAGCGCCGCTGCTCCCGCCACGCGGGTCCATAGCGGGCAAAGAGGACCCCTGGGGGCGGGGCGGACGTAGGCGTGGCTCGGGTGGGCCCTGGCCCTGCCTCTGCGGACACACCATGCTGGTGGGTCGCCCGCCCTTGCATCTATGCCGAGGACATATCCCTGCCCTTGCCCTGCTCACACAGTCCTGCCCCTACTTCCCCCACAGTATTCTTCTTCTCAAGGCCTTAAAGTAACACTCATGTTAGACCTCCCGGCTGGGGTCAGGTCCCACCCTCTGCCCACCCACATGGCTTGCCAGATCTCCCCACTGGGGGCAGGTCTTGGCCCCACTCTTCGCTCTGCCCACCGAGATGTCCTTTCATCCAGGGAGGGGCCCAGTCCGCCCCATGCCCCGCCCGCCCCATGCCCCGCCCACACCGACTCTGTCCTCCTCATTCCTGCCACCCAGACATCGCCTTCCTCCTTGCGGTGGCCTTCGGCCCGCCCTCTCCCAGTAACGCCTCGCCCTCCGCCCTGCCCGCATCCACCTGCCAACCCTTGGCACAAGCTTCTTCCTCCACCTGCCGCCTCTTCAAATTCGCTGACTCTTCCCTTCACCGCAGGTCCACCACCCTGCCTCTGCTTGGCCCTGCTGGGTCTCTGATCACTGGGGACCCAGTCCCCCGCCGGTTAGCGGTCCTCCCCTCCTCCGCTTGCCTAGCACGTGTGGTCCGAAGCCTCGGTGCTGGAAGACAGGCATAAGTGGGCGGTCCGCTGTGTCCTCGCCGTGCTCCACCAGCGCCTCGCGCATGGCCGCCAGCCCGTTGAGCACGACCACGGGCGTCCAGGCCAGCTGCAGGCTGAACACGTCCCCGAAGTGGCGCCCAGCTGCAGGACAAGGGTCAATGGCGTTAGACAAGTCTCGCCCGAGGTTTCCTGACCCGATCTCCTGGCAATAGACCTGGAGGGACCCCTGGGCCGCCAGCAGAGAGTGGGTGCAAGGACTTTATCTGGCCTTGTGACGCTGGTGGTCACATCCTCTATGGTTGAGGAACTCACGTTCTATCAGATCACCCAGCTGTGACTTTGCAGAGGTCACCAAGATGTCAGGAGGCCAAGTTAGCATCCCATTTTACAGGTGAAGAAACTGAGGTTCAGTGAGGTGAGCAGTGAGGCCCAAGGACTCACAGCAGGAAGAGATTTGAATCTGGTCACTGTTACTTCTCAACCTCGATTTCCTGATGTAAATGGGGCTCATGACCAGACTCCTCCCCTCCAATCTCAAGACCTTTCCTCCTGATGTCCTCAGAAGGGACTCAGGCTCACACAACTTAAGCTCTGTCCCACTGGATCCCAAACTCACTGCCAAGTCCCACCCCCTCCAGGCCTTTGTCCTCTCTGACATTTGATTAGAAAATTCAGACTGTCCTCCAGGCCCTGCACAGATGCCCTCACCCAGGAGGCCTCTCAAACCTGCCTCCTCCTTTCCACCCAGCTCCCTGTCCAGCCTGTGGCTTCACCACCACCCACTGTCTGCTGCTAGGTGGGTCCCCAGGACCTCTGTGCCCACCTCCCAACGACCTTCCTCACCCAAGTAGAGCTGCAAAGTGTGTCCTGGAAGTCCACCTGCAGCAGGTTGCTCAGCCCAGGCAGGGGCATGGGGCCTGGTGGGTAGCGTGGGGCCCAGCATTGGTGCATCAGGTCCACCAGGAGCAGGAAGATGGCCACGGCCAGGGGCCCCAGTGTCTCCCCGGTCAGCAGCCCAATTGCTGCCTCAGTGGGCACTGGGCTCCTCTGGACACACTGGCACCACTCACCACACCAAGCACCTAGGACCAGGCCAGGCAGGGCACTCTCACCAACCCTGAGGGCTCGACCAGCATTGGTCCTCTTTATAAAGGGAGCTGAGACTGGCCTTTGCCCTCTGCCCTGACCCCACCTGTTGGGATGACTGAGCTGCCACAGGGTGCAGGGAGGGGCCATGGAAGTTCAGGTGCAGGTGTGGCACAGAAGTCCCGTCCCTGCTGCCCTCTCCAGGTGCTTATTCTGGGTGGGGGGTACAGAAAAGTGATGTCCCCAGCCCCAGCCTGATTCCCCAGCATTGTACAGGCTCCGAGAAAGAACCAGGGGTCTCTAGACTTGATCCTCCCCCACCTGTCATATCAGGCTCACACTCCCTAATGTGGTCAAAGCCTCATCCCCAGAACACATTTTCGCCTTCCTATTATCTCACCTGCCTCCTCCTGAGTGACCTTCGCCTCCCAGGTTTGTATTGGCACTTGCTGTAGGGAGGTCACAACAATCAGAGGGACGAAGAGTGGGGAGTGAGAGGAGGGATGAAGTTCTCCATGTCCCTCACTTCACACTAGTACACTCAGTACACACAGACAGAGTACACACTCACACATTCAGACACTACCCACCTGCTCACAGACTGACACACAGCAACGCACACACCTTTACACACACAAAACTACATATACACACATTAATACACGTACCACACACACACACACGCAGACCCAGCACCAGGGCCCCTGTTCCCAGTGGTTGCCTGGAGCTGACCTCCCCCTCTCCTTCCCTGGAGGCTACAGGCAGTGATGCTGAGGACCCTCACAGAGTTGGCCGTGGGCTCAATTTCCTCAGTTTCCAGCTAGCTGTGGCTGAGGCACCTTTGAATCTGGGTGGGGAGGCAGCAGGGTTGTTTTCAGAGCTTCCCAGTGACACAACAGCCAGTTCAATGCCAGGAAACCCTTCCTAAGTTGGTTACAAACTGGTCCTTGACCTCCTAGCTCTTGAGGCCACCCAGGGGAGAAGTCTCCTCGTGCCTGTCTCCTTTCCTGACCCAGTGAAATGTGGGGTGGGCACTTGCCCTTGTTGACTGAGCTGCTAGGAAGCTCATGGTACTAGGGTGGCTTAGCAGAGGATGTGACTCTGTCCCCAGAGGAGGGGGCCTGCTTCCTCCTCCTCATTATCATTTTTTTTTGTTTTAACAGCTTTATTGAGGTATAATTGATATAAAAAAACTGCACATAGTTAATGTGTACAGTTTGATGGCTATGGACATATGCAATCACCACTTTGGTTTTTTTTGTTTTGTTTTGTTTTAATTTTTTGTTTATTGCAGTAACATTGGTTTATAACATTGTATAAATTTCAAGTGTACATCATTATACTTCTATTTCTGCATAGATTACATCATGTTCACCACCCAAATACTAATTACAACCCATCACCACACACATGTGCCA